TGGCGCACACCTGTAATTCCAGGGACTCGGGAGGCTGAGGTAGGAATATCATAAGTTTGAGGATAGCCTCAGCAATTTAGTAAGACCCTGTCTCATAATAAAAAGAACGGGTTGGGGCTGTAGCCCAGTGGCAGAGCGCTTGCCTAACATGCGTGAGGTACTAGGTTCGATCCTCGGCACCATATAAAAATAAAATAAAGGCATTCTGGCCATCTACAACTACAAAAATAAGCATTAAAAATAAATAAATAAAAAGAACCGAGGATGTCTGTCAGTGGTAGGACATCCCTGGGTTCGATACCCAGTACCACAAAAACAGTTGACATGGGCATCTCTGGGGTCAGGGGAGTTGATAAGCTCCTCAGGGAAACACTCTCCGCCCCCAGCTAGCTCCATAGTCTGGAATCAGAATTCTTTCTGCTGTGACCACTTGAAATGAATCCACCAAAGGACTGAGTAAAGTAGCCTGGGAGTGGCTTGGCTCCTTTCCTCCCATCTTGCCTATTCATTTCACCCAGACTGCTGGCTGGGCTTCTGGCACTAGAAGGAATCACAAGCAAAATGATAGTTCTTCTGGGCATGGTGTCTCACACCTGTAATCTCTGAGGCAGGGTGATGGCAAGTTCAAGGCCAGCCTTAGCAATTTAGCAAGGTCCTGAGCAACTTGGTGAGTCCTTTTCTCAAAATAAAAACTAAAAGGGCTAGGGACGTAACATGCCACTGGGTTAAATACAATAAGTAAATAAATGTCTGAAGCACAGTGAGCTCTAAAAACACCATCACGGGACATTCTTCAGAAAGTGAGTCCTYCTCTCCTACAGAGCAAGAGCTCGTAAACGAAACAACTGGATTCATAATTTTTTTTTCATTGTCCATTAATTACCCTGACCACAGGCCTGTCTCTGCAGGCTCCTGCTATTTTCTGAGTACAGGAGGGCTGGGAACTGCTGCCTGTTTCCGCCCTCAGAKGATCCTAGGTCATCATTTCTAGGACAGAGTCTTTGTGTTCCCAGTCAGTGCCAGGACTGAGTGAGCATTCATGAAGGTTAATCCTTACCCAAGTCCCTCCCAGAAGTAGCACTTGGTTGGCCAATGACTGTGACCCAACTCTTCCTCAAGCTACCAGCAGAGGGAGCCCGCATCTCACAAGTGAAAAAGGCTGACATGTTTGTGGTGGTGGGGACTGGGTTTCTTGTCTTGGTACTGGGGACCAACCTCAGGAGCACTTTGCCACTGAGCTACATTCTTAGTTTTTTTAAATTTTAATTTTCAGACAGGGTTTCACTAAGTTATTGCGGGTATCTCTGAATTGCTGAGGTTGGCCTTGAACTTGTCATCTCCTACCTCAGATTCCTGAGTTGCTGGAATTACAGGCGTGTGCCACCTTACCATGATGGAGGCTTTTCTTGATATTGGCCCTTTTCCTTCAGAGAGCAGGACTTCTAGACATTTGTGGCCCCCATAAGGGTAAACCCTCCACCACACCCATCCCAGAAGAGCAGCAGAGTCAGTTCCCCCTGCTGGCACTGGAAAAAGGGGCCTGATATACACCCAGGCCCAACTGACTGCTCCCTGACCTCAAGTCACTACCACCACTTGCTACTGTCAGCCTGCCAAATGGCGAGCTGGGGAGAAAAGATGTAGCTATAGGGACTTTGGTTTTCTAGGACAACTGGGTACAGGACCCCTTGGCCCCAATGTCCAACCTCTTCCCCTGCCTATTCCCTTCCCTGAAAGGACAGCTTTATGGATTCCCCAGGGGAGTTGTCATGACTACAACCCCAAAGCCTATGTACCCAGATCCCAGGGCAGTCTCTCTGCCTTCCTAGTAATCCCCTGGCAGGCCCTGCCTGTATAAAAAGCTCCCACAATGTCCCAGACAACTGTGTGACCTCAAAAAGTCACTCAGCCACCTCAAACCTGTTTCCTTATCTGCCCAAATGGGCTAGCTCTTGGCTGTTAGAAGATGAAACAAGATAATGTTTGCAAAAATGATTTAAGGAAGTATAAAGCTTTGCAAAAATATAAGACCAGAACTACAGCCTTGGAGCTCAGAGCACAGGGATCAGAATGGAGAGATCCCAATTCTTTCTCTAATATTGTCCATTTGTGTCCCCCAAATATCCCAGGGTAAGGTCCTTGCTGGATCTCTTTCCCCACAGGCCCATTTCCTTTTGCAATAAAATGACCCAGATGCTGCAAGTTGGCAGCTCCAATCTCAGGTTTCAGTGCAGGTTTATTTCAGTTTTATGTTTTACTCCAGGCAAGTGCTTATTACATAGATAGTATTCATGTCTCAATACCTAAAGTCTTGGAGCATGAACAGCCACTAGAATACAATTCAATAGTAAAAATACAATATGTACAAAATTAGGGTTTTTGTAGTTTTTTGTTTTTTCCCACACAGCAGATGTATCCAAACACATAAAAATCTCTACAGTCTGGGGTCGCTACAGTTTATATTTCAGGAAACGGAGACACAGTGACCGAGTCCTCACTGTAAACAAGGGCCACCTCTTTGGGGTTTCAGGGTGGGACCCTGGGATGGGGGGGAGAAGCAGTTGTTCCCAGAGAGCAGGGATTATGGGGACCCAACTACTCTCCAGGCATTTGCTGCCTTTCTTTGGCCCCCCAAGGAACCATCCTCCCCCTCTCCCCGAGGTAAAGACTCCCAGCCAGTGAGCCACTCTGAACATCATCAAAAGGTAAAACACGCATGAGAGGTAAGATGTGTGTGTATGTGTGTGTGTCCCAGGCTGGAAGGGCTAGGGAGGGAAGGGCCAGGCGGTCCCACAGGGTGAGGACAGATGTGGTCCTAACAGTTCAGAAGGGAGACGCCCAAGGAAGGGCTGGGAGGTGGCTGTCCACTTGGGCACACGGCATCACAGCGTTCACAAACAACAAAACAACAGCAACAACACCCATTGTCACCAATCTGGACATAGTCATTCGGCACTAGATTTGGAGGCCCCCACTGCTGGGGGGTTAGGGAAGGGCAGGTAAATGATGAGGTATCTGTGCAGGCCCAAGGGCAACTGGCCAACACAAGTTTCAACTCTGGAACTGGCCTCAGGACGTTGGGAGAGGTGAGCATGGGGATGGGTGCGGGTGGGGGTGTCACCAAAGTGCTCTGAATGTGCAGGCACCAACCTCTGTTCTTCCCACTGTCACAATAACAGTAAAGCTGCCCCCCTGGAGCTAGGGTGTCAGTCCGGAGGTGGCTTCAGGGGCTGGGGGAAGCCAGCCTGTGGGGCAGGATTGCTGAGTTTGGGTAGGGTGAGTACCACAGTCCTCCCACAGGTCCCACTGGGGACCTGGTCCTAGGCCATCCACCTTCCCCACCCCAGGAGTCAAATGAAAATAAGGAAAGTCCCCTGGGAGGGCTCTAAGACCAGGAAGGAACTGKAAGGATTCTTAGAGCATCTAAGAAGTCTTTATTTCCAGGGAGAATCTATTCAAGACCTTTGCTGGCCTCCTCAGTGCCAGCAGGCAGGGCACTTCCAAGGGTCCTAAGCTGTCCCTTCCTGCTTCTCCTGCCTGCCCAGCACCCCATCAATGCAAACTTCACACCTAGGGACACTCACTTCCTCCTCCCTCCCCCATCAACCAAAAGGCCATCAGTGAGTGTGTCCAGTGGGGAGCTGAATGTGCACACATGCATGTAACTGAGTGTCTGACACAAGGCCACTTATAATAAATATCCACATAAAAAGAAGCCAAAGCAGTTGGTAGAGATAGGGAACTTGGCATCCCCTAGCACAGAACCCTTTGCTTCACCCTGCCCCAGGCTCAAACCTCCTCTTGACTCAATTAAGGCCCTTTCCTCAGAGGAAGGTGGTGGTGCGTTGCAGGGGACCCTCAAAACCACCCATTAGAAAGGGGGAAGAGGGAACACAAGTACAATGGAGCAGAAGCAGCAGCTCCCGAGAGGAGTCAATAACCCTTGGCTCTGGCCTGGTTACCTTCTCTGTTTAAGTCCCCAGGGCCTGTTTGGGGCAAGGTTCAGGGTTTTGGCCATGCCCCTGGATTTGAACTTCCTAATGCCTCAACACTGTGGCTTCTAAGCTCCTAGAACCAAGACCAGCTGCTGGTCCATGTCTCCCAAGCTGGAGGAGGAGGCCCCAAATCCACAGGTGCCCAGGCACCCCCATCCCCTGGGAAAGTGCCCCACAGAACAGAAATTAAAGAGCCAGGAGTGAATGGTAGACAGCACCTTGGGCTGCTTTCTGAAGTCAAAGGTCAAGCCAAGGATGGGGATAGAGGGCCGGAGTAGCTCTCCTCTCAGGCCAGGCCTGGGTGGCTGCAAGGATAAGGGAAGACGGCAGGGAAGAGAAGCCCCACCTTCCCCAGCCAAACCTCAGCCTGTCCTCCAGAAGCTAAGAGCCCAGTGGCAGGGGTTGAAAAGCTTGGCAACAGCTTGGGTTTTGTTTATTGTTGGTAGAAAATCGTTTTAAATAGTTTCTACTGTAACAAATCATAGTGACCCCAACCACATCAAAGAGCTCCAGGCCAGGGCACCCACATGTTCAGGCACAACTCCATACCAGCCACTGCCTAGGATCTGACACCTGTACTCAGAATAGGACCCCTCACCACCTGTCCCCAGCTTTCTGGGCCAAGTGGCTTCAGTCCTGCTTCCCCATATCCCTCTAAAGGCCTGGGAGGAAAACACTGAGGCTGGGAGTGAGGGCCCAGGTGCTCAGCCACCCCACCAGAGAGAGCAATAGCAGCAGCAGTACAAAGTGGGCAGGGTAGGGAGAAGCCAGAAAACACGATGTCACATCGTGCTCATCTTGGGGGACAGCAGGAGTGGCAATGGAACTGGCACCAGGCCCAATGGGCGTCACATCCACTAGTGTGTCCTCATCAGTCATCAAGTCCCAATGCAGTGGGGTAACTCCCTGCCCTGTACCCAACTCCATGGGGGGCCCTCCCTTCCTTGGCTCAGAGTCTTTGCACCCCCTTCCCCTAGGAGGCCTGGGGGTGTGTGGGTGGGTGGGCCTGGCTGGAATGTGTGGAGCTGGTGGGTGGGAGAGTGGGGGACATGTCCCCCTCCCTGCCCCCACTGGGGGGCCTGAGTGGCCTCATCCTTAAGCCAGCTTTAGTGTGCTGACCGGGAAGGAGGGCATGGTGACCATGGTCACAGGGTTGAGCACTGTCTGGCCCACCAGCTGGGGGTGGTGTACCACCTGGGCCCCCACGGCTGGCTTTGCCATGACTGTAGCTGGGGGCCCCAGTCCGGCTGTGCCATTCACTTGCTGGTGCGAGAGGGTGTGGGCGATGTGGCTCACTGCCACTGGCTGGCTCACTGCCACAGGCTGTGGGTACAAGGGCAGCTGGGAGCCGAGGTGGGCCACATGGTTCAGGGTGGCAGGGTGCACTGTGATGTGGCCAATGGGAGGTGTGGCAGGTGCCAGCTGCACAGCAGGGCTGGGGGCAGAGGGGGCAATGTGGGCAATGTGCTTGCCGCCCGGCCCCTGTAGAACATGGTTCACAGTCTGGATGACTGAGGCATGGGTGGTAGCCGTGTGGGCAATGACCGTGGAGCCGCCCCCAGCAGTGGCCACCAGATGGGCTGGGGCTGGTACCAGTGTCTGGGCAGGGGTGGCCGGTGGGGGAGGAGGGGCAGGCAGAGGGGTCTTCTGTTGTGGCGGCTGCTGCTGCACAGGGAGGTGGGCAGGAGATAGGGCCACTGGATGGGGGTGGGGGTGAGGGTGAGGGTGGGGAGGCAGAGGCGCGGGGGCAGTGCTGGGGGGTGGGAGGGTGGACTTCAGCAGCTCCGGCTGGGGACGATGGCTCATTTTAGGTGGGCCCAGGCCTGCCCGGTCCTCCTCCATATCCTCGTCTATGTTGTCCTCACCCTCTGTGGGGAAGAGGGCAGGGAGCATGTCAGAACGGTGTGGGAAACAAGTGGTAGGAGGTATTAACACCCAAGGGAGTTTGGGAAAATAACAAGGCTAGGGCAGGGGGCATCTTTTCTACCAGGCCAAAATTTGGCCAGGGGAGCTGGGAACAACATTTGAGCATGGTGGGAACAGTGCAGGGGCCAGGGCTCACCAGAGGCTGTTGAAGTGGAGGCCTGGTCGTCCTCAGGCTGGCCTGTCTGCCGGAGCACACGGTCGATCTCCAGCACATCCATCCACTGGCTCAGCTCATGCTTGAGTTCTGCCAGTCGCTGTTGCGTGGCAATCTTTTCCCGTGCCAGTCGCTCCATCTCGTGTTCATACTCCTTCTCCTTCCTCTTCAGGGACTGAGGGACAGGGCAAGGGACAGCAGGGAACCCTGAGCAGTAGCCATGGGGCTTATGGTATCTTAAAACCTCTCTCCACATCAGCTGGCCAACAGGAACAAGTCTGCAATGACCAGGGAGCCCAGGAAGATCGAAGTTGTTGGAGACCATGCCTGACTCCTACTCCGCGGCTCTGTCCGACAAGGCCCAGCATCCCAGGCAGAGGGCTCTTGGGCAGGTGCTAGTGAAGTGAGCACAGGTCCGACAGCTCTTACCCAAGCAGCGGGGGGGCCCTTCCTCACCCTCCACTTGACCCGGCCCTGAGGAGCTTCACTGCCTCTTGCCCCATTTCTCCTCCTTGCAGCCTTTCTACTTCCAGGGTCACACCCAAGGCCCCCATCACCATTCGTTCCACTCTGCTCAGTCACTGATGCCACAAGCTATCCTCCTTACAACCCATTTTCAAAGACCCCAAACAATCCTGAAATTCTYTCCACCCCATCATTCAATCATCCCCTTGGTAAATTTGATATCCTTGGAACAAATCCCACTTATTTTGTGACAGCATCCCATCCCCTCCCCATCTCCTCTCCATGACCTGCCTCCATCTCCTCCTGAGCAGTTTTGGGATCTACATCTCCCTTCTGACCTCCTAGCTACTCCTCACAGTGCCCACCTGTGCTGCCTCAAGACAAGGCTGTTACTCTGTCCCCACCCAGTACCCTGCCTATAGCTCTCCAGACTCCACAGGCTGCTGAAACCCCAAGTCCTGAAATGTGCCCCATGGCTGACAAGAAATGTTCCCGGGGAACTTGATAGCAGCCCCTGATTCTGTTAAGCACCCCTACAGAAGCTTCTGTTCTTCTTCACAGGTTCCAGGTCAGTCCTTCACCACCATGCTGATGCATTACCCACTTTCCTGAGGGGTTCCCTTATCCATGGCACCATCTCCCTCTCCTCCAGGCCCTGATGACCTCCTAACTCTCAGGTGCTTACCTTTCACACTAGGCATCACTCCCCTATCATAAGCATCTCCAGTTTCCCTGTGCACAGGCTTATTAGCATCTCCAAAAGGCCAGCTCATATCCTCCTCAGCTCCTGTCTACACCAGTCTTTCCTGAGCATCCATGATTCTTGACACTTCATTAACTCAATTCTTCTGTCTCACAGGCTTCCTTATTAGCAGCCTCTGCTTACTTACGCATGTCATGACCACTGTGTCCACCAGACAAGGCAGATAGATGCTCCTTTCCTTGCTGCCTCCTGAGTCCCTTTCTCCATCTGTTCCTGAGCACCTAGCTTCCGAGGTTTGCCAGTCACATCCAGGTACGGAGCGCACAAACCAAACTGAACAGCTTGTCTTAGTCTGAACCTTCCAATCCCCAGTCTTATTCTGCTCCAAGACTACACCTGAGTCCCCACCTCCTCCACTGTTCTTCCCCAGCCCAAGGCCTCACCTGACATCCCCTGCCTCAGAGCCCTTCTCAGCACCTATAACACACAGCTGAACGTTAATTGGGAAACTGGTCAGATGGGACTTTGAATCAGACACTGGCTTGTAACACTACCCAATATTTCATGTGCTTATGTTTTGTCTTTCCACCTCTACACACACTGTCCCTGTCCAACCTTCAAGCAAAGGTAAGAACGGTTCTGACCCTACCAGTGACCAGGAAGTTACGAAGGGTGTTTTCTCAGCCCCAGGGAAGGATCTGTGAGCCTGCTGCCCTGCTTTCTAGTGAGCACTTCAGTTCCCACCTCAGTTCTTTCTCTCCCCTTTATGGCAGGGAGAATCACAGGAGTACAGCAGTCTCAAGTCTCCCTTGCTTGCATTCCCTTGAGGCAGTTCTGCAGTTTTTCAGAATCTTTTTCCTGACTTGGCATAGCAATGCCTTCAATCCCACCCACCTGCTAGATCCAACTTCCCCACACTCCTCCTGCAGCCCCAAACTTCTACCTCAACAGTGAGAAATGCCTCAAACCACTAGTGCCTCCAACAAATACCCAGATAGAGCCATCCTCTATATTGGTCTTAACAACCCAGTCCCTGATCACAAAGACCCCCCCCTCCATCACCCTGGCACTGAGTAAAACCTTCCTCTCCCCATGTATCTGCTAGAAACAACAGGAAAACACCTTCCCTCCCCCTACACACACACACACCCATGTGTGGCTTCTCACCTGGCTCTGCCCCTGAGGGCTGGACAGGACATCAGATGAGGCAACATCGACAGGCCCTTGGTGACTCAGCCCTCACTTGAACCTGGTGGCTGGGGGCTGGAAGCGTCATCCTGAACTCTACCCACTTGCAGGGAGGCTAGACTTCTGGGTCAGGGAGAGAGAGTGTCAGGGGCCAAAACCTCTTCTCATCTAGTCCAGTTCCCCACAGGCCTACAGGTCCCTGCAAAGTTTCCCCATGATCTAATGTTAGTCCACACTACTTCATTTTTTGTTTTCTGTGGTGTTGGGATGGAATCCAGGGCCTCGCACATGCTGGGCAAGTGCTTTACTCACTGAACTACACCCCAGCTCATAACACTTTGTTGTAAACTCACTTCCTTTCTGTGACTACCTGGACACACATTCCTCCTCTTCCTTCTGTGTCCACGCCTATGGTCTTCTCCAAATCCTTTACCACCTCCAAGTAACACTGGGGACCAGTTAAGGACTACACCTTCCTATAGCCTCCTGCTCTCCACATGTCACCAGAGCACTCCGTCCACTTGGCTCTTTTAATTCCTCCAGGACCAACTTTCCACTCTCATCTACTTCCTGCAGTCCATGTCTCTGCGGGACAACCCTCCTGACCATCTTTCACTTCCAAAAATTCATCCTCCTCCCTCCTGCTGGGGAAACTGTGGCCTGTTCTGGGTTCTTTGTCCTCTACTTTGCCACATTCACCCCAACTTATCCTGCAGGTCCTTTCTTCAGGGATGACCTCTGTAACTTCCCAGATCCTGACAACCCTGTCCCTACTATATCCTCATGGCACAGTTCTGTTTGTGTGTTTACAATCTGCCACAAGATCAAACCTTCCAGGACAGAAACCCACCCTTTCTTCTTGGCTCTCCACTGCATCCTTAGAGGCAGACTCAGGGCCTAGCTAAAAGTACTTGAAGGAAAAAATAAATGAGTGTCCTTGAGGGTTTCCACAAACTTGTGAGTTTTCTGCTGTTTCTGCCTCCATTACAACACCCAGACAAGCATTTATGGTAAGGCTGAGGTACCACCCACTTCCTACTCAGCCCAAGTCTGATACTAACTAGCTTTATTTTACAGCCTCCACTGAGTCTTTCTGAATTTTTTTCAAATCCATATTTGGGTCCCCCCCCCCAAGTATGTACCTATAGAGAAATTCGCCATTTTATCCTTGTTATTTCTCAATAACTACTGAATTTACAGTACCACGAATTATTTGCCTGAACAATCTCAATCCTCTTAATATCTCTGGGGCACTATTACTTTTACCTACTTAGAACTGCCATACAGAAAAAAAAAGTGATATTCATAGGAAATGTCACTGCGTGTCGACAAGGATTTGCTGAGATCACATGGCTAAGAACGAATAAATTATATCTAAGCCAGAAATCTGCAAAAATATCCCAGAAATAAGTTATTCTGCCTCTAATAGCCTCTGCGCGCTCGGCGGGGGGGGGGGGCCTCCCAGGCCACTCGGGCCACAAGCAAGGCCCCGCCCCTCCTGGAGCACGCGCGCACCCACGCGGACTGGCTTTGCTGCGTCACTCCCAGCCTGCCGCACCCTCCCTCGGCGCGCCCAGGAGTCCCGCCCCGAAGCCGACCCAGCCAATCCGTAAGCTCGCTCCCGGCTGCCGGGAAGCGGCTTGGATGCGCGCCAGTCCCTCCCCTTGCCGGTAGGGCGGGCGGAAAGGCGCGCGTTTGCCCGAGACTTGGAGGGAGGGACCAACAGACGCAGCGGCGAACCGCGCCTCCGCCCCCACCTCCAGCAAGTCAAGCTCCAGTTACTTCAGGGCTGTGACCCGGCTCTCCAAACCAAGGTTGGGCTGTGGCATCCCGCCAACCCCTCTTGGCCACCCTTCCCACTGGGGCTCTGACGCCGTCTAGCCTCCAAAACCTTCCCAAATAGGCCGACAGGGAGACCCCGGGGCTCATCCCCACCCCCAGATCCCGCGCAGCAGGGAGTCTTAAGTCCCTCCCATTCCCCCAACGGCTCCTGGACTCCGCGGCAGCCGACCGTGGCCGCCAGGCCCATCCCCCATGATTTCCTCAGCACGCGGAAACCCTCGCCGGTTTCCAGGGAAACCGAAACTCCAGGCCGTCATGGCAACTGTCTTATCTGGCAGCACCCCCCACTACCGCAGAACGGAGTCCTGGCCCAAAGGGAGAGGACACATAGCCAGGAAGGCACCCTGAGAAAAAAAAAAACAACCCTTTTCTCAACGGAGACGGATAAAAACGTGACTTAATTTTTTAAGATTCTGAAACCCCGGGGGCTGTTGGCTACCCAGTAAAACCGCCGCATTCTCTAACTCCCAAATGCGGGTCATGGGATATCACTGAGCACACCAAAAGGGTCTTCATCTTGTGGATAAATGCGGGGGCTTCACTGGAGCGACGCAGTGTTGGCGGAGACCACGCCCAGGTGTCCCCCTCTTCCCTTCCCCCGCCACTAAAGATAGTCGGATTTCCGCCCAGGGGCTCCGAGCGGGGAGACGCCGTGCCTGATCCGCGTCCTCCTCACCCACGGTGCGCTAACTAGCACAAAGCGAGGGGTGGGCACAGGGACACTAAGCGAGTCTGCGGAACGCATCTCATCAACTCTGGGCCGCTGGGGTTGCACGGACGCGCCGCAGGGGGGAGGGGCGGGCCGGGGAGTGGAGCGTTTTGGCCCTCCCGCGCAGGCGCGCCCTTCTGCCCGCCCCCTCCCGGGCTGGGAGCCCCGCTGACGTCAGCCGGGCCATGTGCTCGGCGCCCGCGTGGAGGCGGGCGGGGGAGCCCGCAAGCGCRGGAGAGCGGGGCGGGGCCGAAGGAGGAAGGGAGGGCTGCGGAGCCGGGAGGAAGCTAGCGCTGCGGCCGTCGCGGCACCGCCCGGCCCTGCTTCCCTCCCCCATACCTGGATGTACCGCAGCGCGGTTCGCAGCACGCTCAGATTCGAGGTCTTCTTGTCGTCCACGTTAGGGATGTTGCGCTTCAGGGTCTCAAAGCATTCCTTCAGATGGGCCCTCCTGGGGAGAGGGAGCAAGCTCTGGTCAGCCAGCCCCAGAGGGGGAGGAACGGGCTGGGGGCAGAGAAAGAGGGCCCAAGGGGAGCTTTGAGTCACCGAAAATGGGTGAGTCCAGGGGCAGGCAGGGTGGGTCCAAAATCACACACGCACGCATACACACCTGTTTTTCTCCAATTTGTTGTGGACTTCTCTGGTTCCGATCCTGAAACCCAGATAGACAGGAGGCTCAGGGAGGAGGCCCTGATTAGGCTGCCTTCCTGACCCCCGCAGCCAAACCCCAAATGACAGGTTTTTTTGTCCCCAACATTCTCTCTGGAAGTATAAAACAGCAGTGGAAGGTGTTCACCCTGTGCTGAGCTGTGTCCACCTCCTGAAAGGCACATCTACGCTCATCCTGCTGATCTGACAAGAGAAACAGCTTAATTATGGCAAGGGTCTTTTGGGTGGAGATCTCTGGCCTGCTTCAAACCCACAAACTTTGTAACCCCTTCATCCCACCTGTCCAACTGAGGGGACATAAGGGCTCCTAGGACTCAAGAGAAGCAGCCAGTTGAGCCAGACCCTACCCAAGAAGCCCATAATTCAGTATTCTGTGAAAAGGCCTAGAAATGCTTCCTAACCTTGGAGGGAGTCAGAGGACACAGAAGTCTGAGGACAAAAGATGGCAATGGCCATATATCCATTCCAGGATACAGATAGGTACAATAATGTGTTCAAATACAGGAGGTGCTTCTAAGTTAGACAGGATATGCCTGGAAAGGCTCCTTCAGTTAAGGTACCTTACACAGCCCATAGGGTGGACAGTTCTCCTGTCCAACCCACCAGCCCCAAGTCTGCCACAGTTCACTCACCCCCCAGGCCTCTTCTTCTGTTCACTGGATTTGACTTCTTCAGCTGGTGCCAACTTCAGGGTCCCAAGTGCAGGTGGGGGTGGCTGTTGGGGGGCCAGCTGAGGCTGGACTCCAGGGTGTGGTGCTATGGTCAGAATGGGCGTAGGGAGGGGTTGCAAAGGCTTGGGGCTGCCAGTGGGTGCAATAGTGGTCTTCGGGTCTGGCAGGAGGGGAGCAGGGGTGGGCACCTGTGGCCTGGTAGGAAGGGGGGCAGGCTCCTTAATGCTGAGTCCAGGGGTGCTGACCAGGGCTGGCTGACGAGGTACCAGGGGCAGAGGCTGGGCTGCAGGAGGCAGCGGTGGGGGTGGGGGCAGTGGCTGGGGGGAGTTGGTCACTACAGGAATAGGAATGACAGTCAGTGGGGTGGGGGTAGCAAGTGGTGGTGGGGGTGCTGGTGGGGGTGCTGGTGGGGATAGGGGGAGGGGTGGTGCCTCGATGCGGGGTTCCTCCACAGGCAGGGCATGTGCCAGCCTGGCCAGGCTACTGGCCTTCTTCTGCTCCTGTTCCCGCTCCCGCTCCAAGCGAAGGCGCTCCTGCTCCTCTACACAGAGAAAAYAATGGGTGGTGGTAGAGTTTCTTCAGCAGAGCCAAAGGTCCTGGGTCCCCACTTCTGTCTGCCAACCCTAAGCCATCCTCTGACTCTATCCCACTCTGGTCAGTGAGCCCTGCCCACCACACATACCCAACCATTCCAGACAGGGATTTAGCTAAGTGCTGGGGACACATCAGTGCACAAAAGAAAGCAGGCCTAGTCCGTGCCACTGGAGCTCACAGCCTGGGGCAGGGGGTGGAATAACAAGTGACAGGATGTCAGGTCAGAATGGGGGAAGGATAGGGGATGAGGAGAGGCAGAGCTGGAGTGGAGAGAAAGGATGCTGCGGACCTGGCAAGCTGGGTTTACAGGTGATGAGCAGGAAGGGTCAAGAGCAACAGGGCTGAGGAGCCCAGAGAAATAGATGAGGAGGTCACAGAGCTGGGCAGAGACCAGGCCACAAAAGACTGCTCAGGGTATTACAGAAGAATGGAGGAGGGCACTGATAGATCACAGCATCTGTGGAAGGCTTTCCACAATAGTTCTCCAGCATCTTCTAGAATGCAGACAGGACCCTTATATCACAGATGTGATAAATTACCTCAGAGCAGCAAAGTGTTTGTTGAGGGTCACCCAGCAAGTCTCCTGACACTTGGCTGGATGTCCTGTACTTCCAGTACTTGCTGTATCAACACAAGCTCAGCAGGTGTCTTCTCACATACACTCACCTCCTCCCATTCTCACAAGAGCCCCAAGTCACAGAGCAGGGATATCACCTTCACCTCACAAGGAAATGGCCCAGAACTCCCAGACTAGGTCAAGGCCTCTGTTTTCCTCAGGGACCATTCAGCAAAAACACTTGCACCTTCTTGTGCTAGGACTCATTTCTCTCAAATCCCTCCTGTCCCTAGCAGCAGAAGCACAAGCTAGAAAGAGGTAGGCAGGATGGTCTAGCAGGTCCCCAGACCTTTGTGCTGGAAGCCCAGCAGGAAGGTGAGGATTCTAGAGAGCTGGCTGAACAAGGTAAGGGGAGAGGTCCTCTCCTGATCCACAGCCCTCTCTTATCTGTCCCCTGGATACAGAGCTGGGCCACCTCCAAACCAGGGAGAGGCTGGACAATCAGCCCTTTCCTTCCCCCAGTGCTGACTAACGCAGCTGACAGCACTGGATACGCCCCAAACACACAAGCCACCCCATGTGATATAGGGTGGGGGCTAAGTCCTCCCTAGGGAGGAGGGAAGCACCCCCCCCCCCCAAGTCCAGCTTGCTCAGGAGTCCCAGAAAACCTGAGGATCCCAGGCCATTTGGCCAATCAACTCCAGGGTGAGCCACGCCTGTCCTAGCCCCTCCCAGGGTGGGGAAGAAGCAAAGGAGGAAGTATAGAGGAAGTGCTCAGAGGGAAGTGCTCATGGTTTCCCAGCAGTCAGAGTTCAGGGCTGCCAGTTCATGGCCCTCTTCCTATCTCTCCTGCCCTTCAGAAAGGAGAGCTGCCAGGCTGGGGCAGGCCTGCTCCAATAAGGAAAGGCCTTGCTCTCCCTGGCCTCTCCCAGCCAGCACTGGCTTATGTTACTGCCCCAGAGAAAACCAGCTTGCTGTGGTCCAGCTTCTTACAAACCACACTGGCAAGGAAACCCACAGAGTTCCAGACACAGAACTGCTCTTAGGCCCAGCCTGGGAAACCCCAGTATGCTCCCTGCAAAACAAGCCCTCAAGCTCTGGGCATAACACCACCTCCACTCCTTTGACTGATAGAACTTTCTTAGGCTTTGAGACAAGCTGATACTACTGGGAGGGACAGCACCCCAAGGTCCAAGAACAGGTGCCCTAGGAACCCAGATTGAATGGAAAATGCATATTATTTTTTTGAGGTGTTGATGACAGAACCCAGGGCATTCCTCATGTAAGGCAAGTGCTGTATCTCTGAGCTACCCTTGAAACTTCATATTTTAAAGCAAGTCCAAAGCTTACCTAGGAGATGGCAACTTCCTTCTCTCTGCATCCCCCAGAGCCAAGCAGGTGTGCCTCACAGGTGCCAGGAAAGACCCAGGAGAATGGCAAAGCTCTATCACACCTGGACCAGCATATTTCTTGACTAGAGTGAAGAATAGGGCTGTGCCCCAGGCCAGAGCAGCCCATTAGAGCTTCCTACCCTTTTTCCTCAGTTCTAATTCATTTCCCACCCAGCAGTACACTACTGGTTTCTGGGACCTCCTTCAGGAGTAATCTGTRTTAAGGCTCTTTAGAAGAMTGTTCTGCTATACCCACAAGTACAACTCCCTCCCCTTATTCATGCACATGCATACTCAAGCACATTCCCTTGGCTCTACCTAGATACTGCCCCCAAAGAATTTAGTGTGATCCTCTGATGTAATACAGAGGAGACAGTTCTAGCCCACATGGTGCTGCCTGCCACCTTCCCAACCTACTGTGGCCCAGAGACTCAGTAGGCATAGTGCTAAGTGGATCCAAACTGGGTGRGCTCAAATGTGCTCAGGCATTGTCCTTATATACATGCTACCAGAGAGCTTTGCACATATGGCAGGCCCAAGACAGGATATGGTCAGCAACTTCTAGACACTCCAGTCAGCTTCCTGGGAAGAATCCAGTCCAAGTCACCTCCATGAATGCTGGGAAAGACAAGGCCAGGCCCTACTAAAGAGCACCAGGATGGCCTTGCCCTTTCCTCACTCATTTCTCACACTTGACTCATGTGCATATACATCCTCAGGTTCATCATGGGAACAAACTGTCTGGTCTAGGCCAGGAAACCTGCCCTGGAGGTTGAAAGTGGGGAGTGGACAAGAGGATCCCTGTTCAAAGCTGGTCATCAGGTTCACATCTCACCCTCTTCTTGCTCTCTTCCTACTCCAGGTCAGAGGACAGAACCTCAAGAAGAAAATGAATGTTTGATCATAAACACATGAGTTCTTTGAGTAGATTTAGCTTTCCAGCACTCACCCATCCCCAAAGTCCTCCTGATCCAGTACCAAGAAGCTGTGACCCAGCAGCTGAACTTGCCCCTATTTCTCACTACCTGGGGGGAGGAGCAGGCCTTTGCAACATCTTAGAAAAATCTGCTTTTTAGCATTCTTTTGTAAGAGCTGCATACATCATCCTCTTCCATTTTAATGGTCAGCTCTGGAGTGATTTAACTGGGCAAGTATGGGAGGGCTGACAGTGGGGTCTTTTCCCTTTCCCCAAATGGCTGGGCATCCTGCAGGTAAGGCAAGGGTGAAATGAAGCTTCCCTGGGGAGATAGTAGGATCAATGTGGTTCACCTCTAGCAGTACCTGATACACAGTGGGGACATGTTGGCACTCTTGAATTGCATGTATTAATGGTGGCACAGTCATTCCCCCCACTCCTGGGACCACACTTAGGACATTCTGGGTCACTACTAGCACTGTCCATTACCTGACCCTGCTCTGGACCCCAAAGACAAGGGGGAGGGGCATGTGAGCAGATGTCCCAGCCCATCAGTTCTGCAAGGTCCAAGTATCTGGGTGCTGAATATTTCCAGTGACTCCTGACCTTGAGAGGCTAGTCGGTCCCTCAGAGCCTACGGACCTGCAGCTCCTCCACCCCATGGCCGCTGCCATTCCCCCTGCCCACCACTGAAACAGCGGCAGCGGCAGCACAAGCTGCAGGGAGGCAAGTGCGCGCGCGCATTTGCACACAAGCGCGCACACACACATACACACACACACCACACTACTACCTCCTGCATGACTCATCATTGAAGCAACAATAGGCAGAGAAAAAGGAAAGGAGGGCAAAGCACTCTCTCCGCCACAATCAACCGGGCCGAATGGTTCTGAGAGGGTACAGAAGTCCCAGGGAACTGCACACACACAATTCTCAGACTGAGCCCCTCGCAGAATTCCTGAAAGCAGTGGTCTTTCTCCTCGCCTTTATTTCTGCAGCACCCTGAAGCTACAGACCACCACTAAAGGGCGCGTGAGGATAGGACCATAAAATCCTCATCTTTTCTATCGAGGGAACGACAAAGTTTGCCCCTTCTCAGTTTGGCTTACTCCAGAGTATGGCGAGGGGGTGTTGCGAGGAGGACCTAATGAGAACGTTTTGGGGCTTAGTGGGAAGATGTGCGCCCTGAGCTCTAAGTGTCTTGTTGTCCTGCAGTCTGAGGGTTTCTTTCGCCTTGGGATCAAAAAAGAAGGCTGGGGAGAAAAAGGAAAGAGCAACGCAGCTCCTCCTTCCAAGGGCAAACGCTCTCCCAGGGAGATGCCCAGCGGTCAGGACCCGGGCCCGACCGACACAGGGCCCCTAGCGGGCCCCGCCCCGGCCCCGCCCCCGGCCGAGCGCGAGGCTGCTAGGAGGGGCCGGGCCGCGCCRTCCCCAGCGGGAGTGTCCCCCGTGCACGTGGTCGGGGGCGGGGCCCATCCACGTCACCACCCGGTGTAACCAACGGGCTTGGAACGCAGGCACACGCAACATTCCAGTCTAGAGCGGGTTTGGAACGCGCAGACACGCCACATTCCACACCTGCTAAAGTCCGGTGGGGCTAGGGGGGCCCGGGGACAGCCCCCAGCGACCCGCGGGCCACTTCGCAGACACCCAATCAGCCCGGCTCTTACCCAAACCCCTGACGCGCAACCCAGCCCAGCTCTCGGAGGCGGGGTCAGCGGGGCTGGCCAGGATCATAAGACACGCGATGTCATTTCATTCTGCAAAGGCCGCCTCCGCCCCAAGCAGCGCGTAGATCTGCCGGGAGCGCCCCCCCGCACCCTCCCGCCGGGGCCAGGGAAGCGGAGAGCTGCACGGCGTAGAGTAATCCCCTCCCCCAGCCCGTTACACACACGCCCACTTGTGTGCTGTACACACTCCCGTGTACACGTCCGTTCATCCTCTCCCGAAGCTCCGATCACACATCCCCCGTGCACACACGCACGCACACGCGGGTCTGCCACCCCCACGCAACACCATTTCTCACCCTACCCCCCCACCCGGCTCACACATCCTCAGCGCTACGAAGGGCACAGCCGGCCACCGCGAAAGGATCCCCCCACACATTGAAGATGCACTGGGGTGCCAAGCAGTTGAGGTGGCGRCCGCAGAAGCCGGGTCCCTCGCTGCATGTTAATGAATTCATTAATTATTTTCACTGCCCACATCACTCTTCCCAGGCGGCGGCTCTTGCGGGGAGCCGTGTGCTGCTAGACTTCTCAGGCCGCCCGAGAAGGGGGAGTGCTGCCTGAGGTTTCGTGTGTGTTCGGGATCCGGGGTCACTCGCCTCCCCTTCCCGGGTGCCCCAGGGGCCCAGCCCGGCCGCTCACCACGTGCTCTCTGTTGTTGCTGCGCTTGCCATTCCAGGAAGCGGGCCGCCTCCAGTAGCGTCTCTATGCTCATCGCGCCGAGAGCGGCCGGGGGCGCGCCGGGGCCGAGGCTGCGGCCCGCGAGCCAGGCACAGGTCAGGCTGGCGGGCGGGCTGGAGGGAGGGATCACCTCCGGGGGGCGACAGGGTTGGGCGGCGCAGCGCACTCCTCAGAATAGAACGGGGGGAGCACAGGGAGAAAAATCTATGTCTCCCAAAATATTTGCAAAATATAAATTTGCAAATTAAAAAAAATCTGATTAAAAAAAAAGGCGGCACTGCCTCTCTCCTTCCCCTCCCTCTCTTCCTCCCTTCTGATGCCTCCCGCCCCGCGGTTCCCGGGAGTCCCGCCGACAAGAAAGGGCTTTGCAACAAGATGGCGAGGAGGCACCGACACACACAACAAGGGAAGGAGCCGCGCTGCCCCCGGCCGCCGCCCCCGCTACTACACCGGGGCCGCAGCCAAAGCCCGGACCGGAGCCCCCGCCCGCAGGGCCGCGGCGTCTCACGAAGAGAGGGGCGGGGTCGCGCGGTGCTGGCCCCGCCCACTCAACGGCGTGCGCACACGTGGCTCTAGTGGGGGTGGGGGGAGATGGAGCCAGGTTTGCGCKCTGTATTTCCGCTTTCCCGCCTCGCCCCGCCCCGCCCCGATCGCAAGCCACAAATTGAGCAAGGGTTGCGTGCTTGGGTCATTCACAACGAAATATGTTCTGCTGGAGGGAAGAATGGAAAATTCAAGACTTAAGTTAACTCAAATAAGGATATTCCAGGTCAGAGAAACCTAAGGATGGCAGACTGGCCTGACCCCTAGGTCTCCATTCCCCACCCACACGCGACCTAAATCCCGCTACCACCGGACTGTTGCAATTCCCCGGGGATCCGCCTCTGGGCGGAGCTGACGGGTGCAGACTTCAAGAGAAAAAGCAGAGGAAGCGGAGTCGTGATCCGGTTCCACTTTTTGTCTTCGTTCCTCCCCCCGCAGTGCGTTCGCATCCTATTAGGCTACGTCACCGGGCCGCGGGCCAATAGGCGGGCAGGACAACACGGCATGGAGCAGCTCCACATGGACACCCCGCACCGCCAGCCTTCTGTTTAAAGGGCCAGTGTCTGCAGGGTCACATCAGCGGGTGCGGATGGGGCCACTGGGTAAACACAGGGTGAGACACCTAAAGGGGAATCCCGCAGTCATGCCCTGGCTTACTTTCTACTTTCACTATCCTCCCATTTAAAGCCAAGTCTTTCCTTTCCTTCCCCCAAATTCTTGTCTTTGTCCAGGAGTGTCTGATATGGGTGGAGACTCCGTGTACCACCCAGAGACCACCCTTTGCTCAGTGGCCTGGTCAGCGGAGTCAAGGCGAAGCGTCCAGAGTCCAGGCCAAGGGGGCGTGGCTCAAATCGCGAACAACAACGTGGAGGGCGGAAGCCCGGCGCCGGGCGACCCAGATCCCTGGGTGGGCGCTGGGCTCTTGGGGCGGGGTAGCTGCCTCGGGTTTTAACAGCGCTCTCTGGGGGGCGGGGCCGCCCGCCCGCCTCTCCCTGATGGTAGTGCTTAGGGAGCCTGGGTTACAGGGCTACAATCAGAAAGACCTTTGAGGCTAACTTGCCCAAATGTTATCATTTTACAAATAAGGAAACAAACTCAGAAAAGGGAGGGACTTGTCTAAGTTTATTTAATGTTTGTTCCATTGATCCTTGCCACAGGAGGAAGAGCATTTATCCCCGACCCCTCGGGCTACTCTGAAGCCAGTTCTGAGGCAGGTCCCCCAATTTGGAAAGAGAGAGGGGGGGGGGAGAGGGAGAGGGAGAGGGAGAGGGGGAGAGAGAGAGAGAGAGAGAGAGAGAGAGAGAGAGAGATCAAACTGCTGGGCAGGAACAGATCTGACCACTTGACACATTGTTATTGGGCTACAAAAATCAGCACCTGAAACCCAACCCTATTCTTCTGCTTCTTTGGTGGAGGTCACACAATCCCCATTGGTACAGTGGTGTTGATAGGTAGGCAGAAGGCATATTTAGGGCACCCTAGAGTGTTATCTATCTAGCTCTGATTGTCCCAAGCCCAGGCATGGGACCTTCAGTTATGGCCCCAGATTCCTTGGTTAACCAGTCCAAGGAGTGGGGAGCAAAGCCAGTGGTTTCAGGATCCTGGAGCCTGGGTTTCACCATCACACAATGCCAGAAAACAAACCATTATAAGGGCCACTGAGAAAGGCCATCCTGCCAATCCATCCCATTCAACTGCGTTCTCAGAGGTATATTTGCCTATTTCCAGAACTAGCTGGAGAAGATCCAGTAGCATAGAAAGCTAATACAAATGAACACTTTGCCCCTTTCCTTTGAGGGCACCATAGTACATGGGGGGGGGGGGGATCCCTGCACAGATGATCCTGAAAATCAAGAACCTTGAAATTGGGGCCTTTGATCTTGGTATATTTAATGCCCCAGCATTTGGAGCTGAGCATGAAGAGGTCATTACACATGTCTGGCTGCTGCTGAGTTTGCTTATGATGACACCGAAGCAAAGGGAGATTAGAACCCAACAGCCCAAATGGGGCGAGTGCCTTTTTCCTAGGAAGGTTAGGTTGGTGCTGACCCTGATAGTGCTTTAAGAGTCTGCCACCTGTTTCAATTGTGATTGGGCCCGGACCACTCTGTACAGTAAGAGAAAATGGGAAATTTAAAGGGAATATGTAGGTGGGAGATAGGGAGCTAAACAGTATACATCATATTGACCTGACATAATGCCATCCAGTCTGTTCTCTTCTGCTTTCCTTCAGTGGTCATAGCACTTAGAACTCTGGAGTCTTCTAGAAGCATAAGTCCAGTTCTTCTTTTATTTTCGGGGAACAGCTCTATGCCATTTAAATAGGCACATATCTGAAGTAGTATTCAGAAGACATCTTTTTCTTCAGGGAGACAAAAGTGGGGTCAAAACAGATTTGAATGTCAGCCTCTCCCTTGCCCCCAATATCCTATCTGCTCCACAGCTTAGTAGAGATGCTTGCTATTTAAAACAAACAGCCTTACAGGCTTCACATGATCATCTGTTTATTTGGGTCATATGGGGACAGCAGCCAGGGGATGTTAGGCAAAAGCAAGATTTTAGAAAGGAGGCTTTTGCTGGGCCTGTTGTTGCCCATAGGAGCCTGAAAATGGTCAAAACAGAATTTCTCATCAACCTAGTTTCCTCCAGTTTAGGAATGAACAGTGAGATGGAGATACCTATGGTGGTGTGGAGAGGGGGGCATAAAAGTAGAGGGAATGAATAAGAGAGCTGCTTCACATTTTAGCACAAGCTTCCTGTTCCAAGGGGAGTGAAGCCAGGGTTGAAGCTGGCAAGTGTAAGAAGTTGGTTTTTATTTTTTTGGCACCAGTGATTAAACCCAGGATGCTTTATTACTGTGCTACATCCCCAGTTCTTTTCATTTTTTGAGAGAGGGTCTTGCAAAGTTGCTGAGGTAGGTCTTGAACTTGTGATCTTCCTGCCTCAGCATCCTGAGTCACTGGGATCATAAGCATACCCAGCAAGGGAAGTCTTTTTGATGTTTCAGTAGAAAGCTTCAGCCATCTCCAAAGAGTTGTTCTTAATGTCTCTTTATATGGCTTACAGATGCTTAGGATCTTTAAGGCAAGAGAAAACCTGGGTCATCCAGCATTCCGCACTTATCTTATGAGACCTTGTGTATCTCAATGTGCAGTTCAAATCCTGTTGTCTCCCAATTTTTTCATATGCTGAGCCAGAGATGTTTTCATAACTTCCCATCACTGACCCCCAACGAAGTATTACATATGCAACTCCAAGAGCAAGATGAGGGAAAGGATGTGAAACTAAAAGTACATATATTCCCACTAGGTCCCAGAAGATACCACAATAGTTCAAGCCTAAATTCTCATATTTTGCTAGGAGTTTAGGGAGCTTTTTACTTAACCATAATCGAAATAAGGGAGACAGCTGCAGGGTGAAAAGGGATGGAAGACTGCTACACTCAGGGATATACTAGGCAATGTTGACTTAACAAATATTTACTGTGCACCTAACATGGGTCATGCAATGGACTAGGTTTTCTTGTAGCCAAGGGCAGGTGACCTTTGGTAAGCCGGAGCAGCATCAAAAGCCACAGGGCAGAATTCATAATCACAGTCATACTGGGAAAGGTTACTTTTGCTCTCTACCACCACTCTCTACATGGATGCAGTACAAGAGATGATAGAACCACACCAAGCCAAATAAAGATACTGATACAATCATTTTAGAATCTTAGGTTCTCAGAGTATCATATTCATCTAATAGGATAAAAAGAAATTAAGTGGGTTTAAGGGCTGGGTTAGCCAACTGAACCTGATCTCCAACAATACAGTCAGAATGATGAACAGGATTCTGAATTACTGTGACAGAGGTATACCCTACAAGTCACCCATGGGTGCCTCAGTGAAGTGTGCTTCCCAGAGCTCTAAGTTCCCATAGGAATCTTCACCCATCCCCCACCCCCAGCAAGTCATCAGAGGACCTCTCTCAAACCCATCCAACTATACAGTCAAGTTCCACCTTCCCATGTATGTATTTTCCCCTCTTCGTTGCTTCACAACTCTTCTGAAAGAGTTGAGATCATCTAGTCTGACCTCCCAAGAGAAGGTGTCTTTTGAAGGTCATCAAGCTGGCAAGCTGAGAAGCAGCCTGGTTCTCTTCTTTATCTGGGCTAGTCCAGTCTGAGGAAGTGCTGTCAGTGTGGAGTGCAGAGTCCTGAAAGGCGTGAAATGGGTGAAGATGAGGAATAAGCTCCTCCCCTCCTAGTTAACGACAAGAATAATCATTAACTGCTTAGTGGTGCTCCATAACAAGCTTGGTTGATGAGAATCAGACTTGGGATCCAGGAGGTTGGTAAACTTAAGAGGACATTGTTCTGCCTTAGGCTACTGTGAGTCTAGAGCCTCTAATTGGACCTGGGAAGGTGGCCACTGGTGCTTACATCTGGAATGAAAGGGTGACTGGGGGGAAGGGTAGATTTTTATCCAGGCACTCACCCTGGGTGTGGACACTGAGTAATAAAGAAATGCAGTTTAGAAGGAAAAGGGGAGGAGCCACACATGCAATCTGGGCTTCTCTGAGAAACCAGAATGGAGCTAAGCTATGCAGCTGGAGGTGGAGCTGTTSATACCAGTGGGTCAAAAACATGGTGGAGGAAGCTGATGGAAAGGCACAAGGAGAAGGATGAGGTCTTCAGATACTCCTTTAGAAGAAAAGAGAGGTGGCTTTATGAGAGTGAATTAATTCAGTCAAGGGAGTGGGACTGGGCAAGATATTGAGAAGAGAGGTGGAGCTCTGCCATGTGAGTCAAGGGCCCGCTGGATCATGCRGGGTTGGGGTTGTGTGTG